AATTCCTATTCTTTTGACTCCTTAAAGGGAGGGCTAAATCTTCTGGAATTTTTTTTTTTTTTTAAAGGGCAGTGTTTTTCGGGGGTTCGAACTCCCACCACATTGGCAAATAAGGATACATGCTAACAAGCCATTTGAACCTTTTTTAGTCAAAATTAACATATTGATGTATATAAAGTATATATACATGGGTGTACAATGCACTTGGGTGAAACTTGTTTAGCCCATAGGGCGAGGCCGTGTAATTCGGATGAGTCCAAGTGGACTCGGCCAAGTCCTGGAACACTGCATCTGACTGTTGCATTCATGATGATGTGCTTTGCATAGCTGGTATCACAGAAGTTTTGAAGCTTTGTTTGAAGCATACAGAGATTCTAATACAAAGCATGACAAATTAAGAAAAATGTTTGATCTCTTCAAAAGCAAAGTGATTTCATAATTTATTAAAGAGATGAAATCAAAATCGTCAAAATAAGTCCATATTTCTGTATCAATCATTTGTTCAAGTGAAAGATTGATTGGGAGTGATAGACAAAGAATATTGATTCAGAAAACAGCTGTAGTCATGTGGATGCTTTTAGTGAGGGAGAGGAGATAGGTACACATGCAAATGGCTAGGTATACAAATTTGCAATGTGCTATGAAGCAAATTAGGAATAGTATTAATCTCACCAATTTCATTTCAATACTTCGACAATCAAACTCTTATGTTCACATGACCAATAGTTTTTTAGTAGTATCTACCCATGAAAAAGAAAAAAGAGATAAATAGTTTCATAATCTTATCTCTAAAAGGAGGGATGTGATATGAAATTGGAGTCCAGTATCAGCCCACTGTCTCACTAGTTGTATTTAAGCTTGACCTGCATTATTTTGTACTAAACTTGGACACAATGTCTTATTTTTTGTTTTACCATGGAGTGGAGAATCTCCCAAGAATATTCAATAACTAGTGACCAATCATCTAGGCTGCAGTTGCTACTTATGCACTTACAGAATTTGATGTTCTACAGTTAGAACATGAGATAAGTCGGGTTCGGTTATTTTCAGACATGGCTGTACGTTTGGACCTGAAGGTCTGCATCATGTGGTAGTGGTTAACACTAAGCTTAAAAGGCACACCCACTCCAATCTTGCATTTAAAAGGCATATCCACTCCAATCTTTCATTACTTCAAGTTGTAGTGATGGCTATAAATGAGGCAAGGGAAATACATGATGGCCCATGTACTTCATACTGAACATTGTGGGTTTTTTGATCTTTTATTTTACTTATCAATAAGAAGTTTTCTTCTGTTGTTTTTCTTTAGTTGCAATGTGGAGGATACACCATTCCTGTAGTTACTTCATCATCCATATTGAATAGCAATTAGCAATCTAACTACCTCAATGGAAATCAACAAAGAGGCATACTATTTGGCTTTTGGAATGTGTTGTGCATGATTTCCTTTTATTCCATTTCAGATCAAGCATCTCCTATGTGTGTCTCATTTGCTCAAATGGCTCAATCAGAATTCATTCTCCTTTTCCCCAGGAAACTCCATGTTAGCTTATTTATCTCTGACTATATTTTGTGACCAGAAACTCCCTGATTAGACTAGGGTATAGCCTCCTTTCAGATATATGCATGTTGTACAAAGCTTGTAATCACTTAAAATTCTATGAATGCTTTGTTCATAATTTCTCATCATTCTTCCTTATTGAAAGGAAAAAAAAATCTCTCACAATTTCTAAGGGAATAGCCCTGTTCCCACCCTGGCCCTTACAGATGTTCCTTAGTTGTTTCTAGTCATTGTTGGCAATGATACGACTTTACTTCCTTGGAAATTCCAAGTCTCTTTCTCTCTCTCTTCATAGGTTGTGCCTCTGATAGATGTGCAGATGATCTTTTGTTTTGCATGTTTCCCCTTCTCAAATTTTCACTGGTGAAAAGAGTGGTTAGAGGTCTTGAACAGAATATTAAGCATTCCTTTCAATATAAAGGCTAAAGCTGGGTATCATAAATGTGGGGATGTTCTGATGATCTCAAATTTGACATAATGAATTTAGTATCTTGTATCTGTACCACTGTGTACGTAATGTAACTGGGCATCTGTACCACTATGTACATAATGTAATGGGCAACAAAGGAGAAGGTTCAAATATATAAGGTTCACGCTGCAGGTTGAATGAGGAATTTTTCAAGCACCTGCAATTTGAACTTGGCCAACTACGGTTTGCAGTGACGAAAACTAAGGTTTGTATTTGGCAAGAGAAACTTGCGCATTCTTTTAGATTGGCTCAAATAAAGCCACAACGTTTTATACAATTGAATTCATGATGTACTTGTAGGATATGGAAGACAGATTGATCGAGTTAGAAGCTATGCAGAAGGTTCTCTTGGAAGGAACAGGTGACTGAACTAAATACAAGATGTGGGTCATGGAGAAATTGATAAACTCTCTCTTTTCTTGAAAAAAAGGGTGTCATTCTCCTTTTTTTCCACAATAATCCAGGGACAAAATCAATTTTGTGCTCTTTTGTTGCAGAAGCATATGACCGGATGCAAGCAGACCTTATTTTGGCGAAAGAAAGGTTAGCTAGGATATTTCAATCCAAGGACAAGAAGGCAACGGTATGTTTAGTGGTTTGGAATTCTAAGTTTAGGAGTCGCATGGCCCCAGCATTGAAGCATAAACTTCAAATTTTGTCCAAAATACCATTGTCATCCTTTTTTCTGAATGGGAAAATACCTTAAACTTAATAAATGTTTCCAAAGGGAGATTGGAAAAATGGAATTGGCATTGAAGCATAAACTTTGAATTTTGTCTGAAATACCAGCGTCATCCTTTTTTGAATGGGAAAATGTCTTTATGTTAATAATTATTTCCAATAGGAAATGGGAAAAATGCAATTCAGTTCTTTTCCAGAAAGAATGTGAATGATAAAAAAAGGGGGCTGACATGATTCAGTTCTGACAGTGGTTAAGTACTTCAATGATGATTTTATATTTGTTTTATGTCATGTGTTATGTGTCTCCTAATGAGCTGCAGAAAATTTAACTTTCAACCAGTTGTTGGAGATGGTTGAGAAGAATGAGATCAATAGGTCTTTATTGACTATTCTTGATGAGAATATAGCAACTGCATACAAAGATGACCAGGTGAAGAGCTGGTTTTTCTGTGAAAATGATACCTGATAACTGTTATTTGTTTACCCTTTACAAGTGCTTTGATTTGAATTGTTAACATCTCCTTTCCCTGGGTCTTTCTGTTGATTTTGCAGAAACAAGCGGCAGAATTCATGGAGAAGATTCGTGCTGCTATCCTCAAATACATGACAGTATGAATCTTCAACAAATATATTGAGGAACTCTTCTTGTAACAAATATATTGAGGAACTCTTCTTGTTATTCCTGGTTGTACTGAGCTCCTTTTGTAGGCAGTTTTTCTCTCAGGTGTGTGTGTGTGTTGTACTTGAAACCTTCCGCAACCTTCCTCTTAAGTATATTATTAAAGAGAACATATAATGTTCTCTTTTGTTCGGGTAGGTTGGCCGGTGGGATTCGAACTTAGGATGCTATGCTATAGTTGCTAACACTAACATCTTTACCTGTTAGGAAAATGTTTTGATAGGGCTGTAACCCCATCAAATTAAGTAAAGCCTTAACTCAAACATCACCGAGAATTGCAGTTCTGGAGTGGGAAAACTTTAAAATCGAGTCTAGATAATGTGGTTTCTAGATTTGAAATTCTAATTTTTAGGGCGAGGTAAGGTGTATGTTCTTGTGCATGAGGGTTGACCACCCAAGAAGAAGCCAGGTCATGAAGTTCCCAATACAAATTCCTTACGCATGGAGAGGCCATGTAGGAATCCATTTCTCTATCCGACTCGGTTAAAGGGAAAACAACAGCTTCCCAAAAAATAGAAGGGGGGGCATTTTAGTTAGGACCAAAGGCTAAAACTGGTTCGATCCCATTGTAGTATTCTGTAAAATATTTTAGAAGTATAATTTTCACTATTATAAATGAGAATATTAAAGGTTGTCCTGTTTTCTTTTCAATTCTAGCATGAAAATATTGAAGAATTTTAGAGATTTTCATAGCAAGCATCCTCTATCAAGGTAATAAAATAAGAAGCACCACCAACAAACTTAGCTTTCATAGGACTGCGCACTAGAGTGAATTGATTCACAAATATTTGTTTTTTGTTTTCAAATGTTTTTATTATGAAACCCTTTGCTATTTGCTAATCAAACAATGAGAATAGTCATTTAGAGGCCATCTTTGAGGCTAGGGGGAGATGTTATTTAAGGTCATTCTCACTAATATGACCAAATTGCTTGTGCGATTTGATGGATTTTTCTCAATATTGTTCACCTTATCTAAATTTAAATGCACTTGCATCATGTAAAAAATCCAACACTTGTTTCCTCTTTCCACTGGAAGAGAACCCTATGCAAGCTTTCAACTCCCATTAACAAAGTGATTATCAGCCAATGGAAATCAAATTATGGCGGCGATCTAGAACATGCCGAACATATTTTTCACAACTTTGTAGACGATATGGGTTACAACACATATGTTACTCATTCCTACAAATTTTGATGTGCAAATGTTTTCCATTATTACAATGCCAAGGTCTCCGGACTTTAAAATGCAAAGAAATCTTTCCGTGTGTAGCATGGTAGGAAGTATTTAGTATCATAGCCATTGAGCTAACCAAATTTAAAAAAACGGATCGACGACCCAAATCGTCTACTTCAAAAACTGTCTGGATTAACAAATTGGTCGAGTCAACAAGTTTCGTCCTACCATAAATGTTTAGGTAGCATTCAAATGTTGCGCTACGGGTAGATATTGGAAACTATTTCCGACTTCCCGCGAATAATGGAAACTCAATGCGCTATGGGTGCCTATGACTTCCCGCGAATGTTGGAAACAATTTCTGAATTTCATGGGAAAGAGAGGCAAACAAACAGAGAGAAAGTGGAGAGAGAGGTAGACTTGACGCAAATATTGAGAACTATTTTTGAGTTTCCTGAGAAAGAGACGCGAACAGAGAGAAAGTGGAGAGAGAGGTAGAGAAAAGGAGGTGAAAGAGAAAAGAGAAGGGGAAGGCATGGGCAAGGCTCGACGCGGGCCGCCTCCATGCCCATGCGTTATGGGAGAGAAAGAGAGAGAACTATTTTTGAGTTTCCTGGGAAAGAGACGCGAATAGAGACAAAGGGGAGAGAGAGAGAAGATAGAAAGGGGAGAGTGAGGTAGAGAAAATGGGGAGAAAGAGAAGAGAGATGGGGAAGCCATGGGCGAGGCTCGACGCGGGCCGCCTCAAGTCAGAGGCGCTATGGGCACCTTGTGACTTCACGTGAATATAAGAAACTATTTCCTGGGAAAGAAACGCAAATAGAGAGAGAGGATTCCGCCTGTGTCCTCTCGATAGGTTGAGGAGAGGCGTATTTACGTACGTTCTGGAAGGGATGTTTGTCAGTGCTCTCTCTCAGTCCTTGTTTTTTTTTTGTCAAGAATTATAGGTCATTCCTTGTTTATTTTTTCAAGAATTATAGGTGTTCTGGAAGGGGTGTCACTCAAAAGTGCACCGGGTGAGGCCTCGAGGGTTAATATCCTCTTCAAGCACATCCAGATTAGATGCTATGTTTCCCTCTCTTGAATAACTTATAGTTTATTTCTCACTCTAGTGTTTTAATCTGTTTCTCAATCTGGGTTTAGTTTGGCTCATTCTATATTTTATTTTAGCCTGACGGTCTTCTTAGCTCTTTTTAACTCTTCCTAGCACTCTAGTAAGAGTGAAGAAGTTTTAATTTCAAATTTTAATTTAACCATAGTAAAGTAATCGATGCTCCGTTCTGGTAATCTTGGGACATGTAACCCAAGGGAGTGGAGCAGTATTGGTATCCCCTTCCCCGTCTCCTCATTGGGAGGTGGATGGTGAGGTTTATCTGCCCCCTCTCATTCCCTCCCCTCCTCAAAACTTTAACAAAGAGGTTTGACTTATTAGACCAAGAGATCGAGTATTGTGGAGTGAAGTAGGTTTGTTTATACTAACACCGCATGAGCCAGTTAATATTTTGGGGATTCCATCATTTCATTCGGTTTGGATTATGGTTCCTCCTTTTAATTCTAGTGTTAGTTCTCATTTTTGGAGGATTTTGGGAATTACAAGGGAAGGAAAGACTAATGCGATCTTGCTGGGGA